AGGTAGCACTTTCCAAAGTATCCTTTATGGACACTCTTTGGAGAGGTTTCATGTGCCATAAATATTCAATAAATATTTATTGAATGTACAGAAGCAGGAGATTTAGCCTCCCAAGTAGCTAGGATAACAGGTGCATGCCACTGTGCCTGGCCCAGCTGTGCCCTTAAACATTGCCAACACACTGCTGGGGGCTTGTGGAAGTATCTCTGGACCATTATTGGGGACCATCAGTTGTGAGGAAGCGTCTGAAAGGAAGCCTCTCCACCTGGCAGAAGGGAGCGTCTTTCTGTTTATTATATTGGCTATTGTTTGGAAAAAGTTGGAGGTGAGGTCTCCTGGGTAGTATTAGATTGGAAATGAATTTTGGTAATCAGAATGGTTCCAAAAGTTGAAACAGGTTCTAATAGTGCTTCCGAGAGGCTCAGAAACTGGAAGAGGTGCTCTAAGAATAAAATGGGCAGTAATGTTTCTTTAAGAAAAGTAGGGAATTGGTGAATGGCACAGGTGACATTGTCCCTAAAAAGCAACCCACTGCTTTCCTTTCTCTTGTCACTCTATAATCCTTACTCCAGCCCTTTTCTCTTCTCATTAGCACACCCACCAGAGTTGGAGCTGGGGGAGACAGAAGTATTCAGACATGCGCCTACTGCATAGGCACTTCACTGAGTTAATGCCAGGACAGTGCTATCATTCTGTCCAGTTCTGTAGAAAAGCCAGCTTTCACCTCATCACTTAGGTGTGATTTTCTTTTTTAGCAGAGAACAGTTTATTGCCAAGCTTCTCTTAACTGTACATTATAAATAGTGTCTGATTAAAAATGTTCTGGATGGGTTAATTAGTGTGGTGACTATTATTAAGCAAACTGCTTGTTAGCATTATGCCTATTTGATCTTGGTATTGATGCGAAGTAATTGACCATAGAGCTACATTTAGAAAAGCCGAAATAAAGTTTTTTTGATTTTTATTATGGCAATAAATTGTTTATATTAAACATGTCTATGAAAATATGAGTTTCATGGAACAGAGTATCAGAATAGACTTTGTGTGGGATGTTGAATGAGGGTTGTTTTGTTTTTAGAAATATTAATACATTTGTCCAGCCTCCTTCAAGGCCAGTTCTATTGAAATAAAGTAACTAAATAAACTGCTTCGGTTTCCGTCTTCATTGTTGCTGTGGAGTATATGAAAACTGAAGTGTTTTTAACTTCCCACAACTAAAGGAGATATCCTGTTAGATTCAGCTAATTGCCTAAATACTTTTTTTTTGGTGACAATCACTATCATAAGTAGAGTATTAAAGAAAAATATGAAAAGATACTATAAACAAGGGAAACATAGCTTGCAACTACCTTCTTTCAAGTACTGGATTGTTATCTATATTATTTATTGGTATTTTGTCCAGTCCATTATTAAGTTTCCCTAGCCGTACTATTTCCATAGGGAATTAATTCCATGGGCTAATAAATTATACCGTCAGGGAGTTTTTCTTGAAATTCAGCTTAAATTTTCCCATTCTTAATTTCATCTCATTACTCCTAGTTATACCCCCTTGTACCAGGCTAAGTAATTATTCTTTTTCCTTGGAGACTCCTATTATATACCCCTCTAGTTGTCACTTCACCAGGCTATTCATATTTAGCTCCTTTAATCTGTCCTCATAAATCAATTCTTCCATTGCCTTAATCATCATTATTGCTCTTCTAAGAACTCTCTAATTTTCAAACAGATCCAGTTCTCAGGTGCCCCCGATGGAATCAGCATTCACACAGTGTTCTGTTCTACAGACACCTTCTTCCTTTCCTCTTCAACAGGATCCAGAACCAAGGGGCATCAGTTCGCTGAGTGAAATCAGCACTTGCTCGTCAAACTTGGGGAGGATCTAAGTGGTGTTTTTCCTGTGGCCTACCTGCTTTCAAAGTTTATTCTGATTTTTTTCAATGTCATTGGATTTGTAAGCTGTTTTGATTCCTGTTCCTATTTATATTCCACATCCTTCCATGTCCTCATTCACTACTACCTATTAAGTCAGTCATCTGCAATCTGTGTTAACGTGGGATTCTCGTCATCCTTGAGAACACTTAGGAAACGTGTTGAATAAAAGCAGAGCTAAAAAGTAAAAAAAAAAAAAAAAAAAAAAAAGGCAGGGCTATCACCTTGCCCACAGCTAGATTCCTTGTCAGTCTCCAGTTTCCATTGTTTACAACCCTTCAGCCAATCCCCGGTCTCTCTTAATTTGCCGTTTTGCTTATATGCTGTCCAGTACAAATGGATTTGTATGATGGGTCATGGTACTGCTTTCTAAAATGAAGATATGTTGTCTCACTGCCCATTGATTTTTTTTTTCATTGTGAATCCTTTGTGTACTAACTTTGTAATTTTGTTAAACATCCATTTTAAGCTTGCTTGGCATTCTTTATCTAACAAACAAATAGGTTACTTTGCTTGTTTCACATTGTTTTCCAGGTATGTACAGATGTTTCTTCTCTTACCATTTGTCCTGTTTGTTTGGCAGAAGGTGAAGGTGTTGTCATTGTCGGTTTTTTGTTTTTGTTTTTGTTTTTGTGTTTTTTTAATTTACTGTGGTAATCAATTAGAACTTGGGGAGGTTGTCTTTTTAGTTCTTCAGTGCCCCTTCCATATTTTCAGTATTTTTAATTTATTTCAGAAAGAAATCTCCCGTAATAATTTTGGACCTGTGATATCATAAACTGCAATCTGTAAATATCGATTTTATTTTTAATTTTTATTTTTTTATTAAGTCCAGGTCTCACTATATTGCCCAGATTAGCTTCAAACTCCTAGGCTCAAGGAATCCTCTTGACTCAGCCTCCCAAGTATCTAGGACTATGAGCATGCAGCCCCACATCCAATATTCTTCCCATTTTAAATTAAGAATTTATTATTTTATTATGGCATATTTAAGATTAGTGCCATTTTTGTATTTTATTTATCTGTATACAAGCATCTATTGCTGAGGGTTTGTATGTATTCAGATGATTTTTCTCCAACGATTTGAAATCAGAATAGATATTAAAAGTGTTTTATAAAACAAGCATAGAAACCCCCAGGCAAGCTTTCTGATTCTGGAATGCACATAGCATACTACATACAGCCAATGACTTTGTGTCCACCTCACCTGGTTCCACACTGTTCCCTAGTCTTACCCATCAGCAGTCCTTTCAGCCCTAGTTAACACCCTGTCCTCATCAACACAGTAACTGATCTCAGCTGGCATCTTCAACCCTATTTCTACCTGTGTTCACCTTACTTCAGATGAACACCTGACATTCTACATCTTCCAACTGAAACTCTTTCTTTCTTTGCATCATTTTTCTCTTCTCCAGCTTTCAAGAAAGCTAGGTTTATTCTTTTACAAGACCCTACATTTCCCCATACATACCATTAACCACAAACATTACATTTTTTTACTTCCATCTTGCAAGGCTTTTCTTTCTCTTCCCCAAAAGAGAAAAGCTTCCTTCCCTAGAGATGTCCCCAAAGTGAATATCCCTAAGTTCCCATATCCCATTTTAAAAAGTTCACCCTTGCCATCCCCACCCTTCTTGCCTTATTCCCTTTCTCTGACTCTCTTTCATACAAAAACCCTAATATCTTGAAGGGTTTCAGCCAATGCCACTCCACAGGGACTCCCCTGGAGTAGCCACATGATCTGGGACAGAATTCTTGCTGGAGTATGCTTCAAGGTTTTCACACACCTTTTTATACATTCTCTGAACGCTCTTGATTCATTCCCACAGTGTGATAATAACTCCCAAATTCTCTTGCAGCTTTTCCAAATGTTGCTTATTGGTCTCTTTTTATGGTTTTTCTTTCTGACCTGGCTGCTAAATGCACATATTCTCCTTGACTTCACTTAGCAACCCAAGAGAAGCAATCTCTCCATGGGCCTGAGGGGGCCCTGGGTTGCCTGACCTGGCCTACCTCCCCAGGCTTCCAGCCCAGTCTTTTTAGGTTGCCTATTATTTCCAGAACAGTCATGTGCCTGCACATAATTTCCTTTAATCCCACTGGCCCCTCAATCCAGAACTTCCCCAATTTGCAAAATCCTTCAGTCAAATCCCTTTTAATCCTTTACTGACCCCCAACTCAGGATGAATCTCCTGTTCCCCTCAGGTTAAAAAAAAAAAAAAATGAAGTGTCCATTGTGCATCTCGTGTGTTCCAACATAGGTTAGTTGGGTATTCACACATCTCTCTCCAACTCTGTTCATGCATTCTTGGTTTATTCCTCATTGTATGGAGATCCCTTTGAGATAGATCCTGTATTTGTTATGTATGACTCACAGATGTTAGGCTGTAGTAGAATTTTTAAGATTTCATTTTATTTACATTCTTTTATCAATAAGCAGATATTGAACTCTGAATCGAGACAAAGCATTCTGGAGGGATGCAGGAGAAATGATAATGGAAAAGATATTAGATATACTTCAAGAAATATCAGCCAGGATCAGTTTAATAGTATTTACTGTACAACAATAGTATTACCGTAATACTGTACAAGCACTGCACATTGTCTGGCCTCATAGGTGGTAAAGAATACAGAACAGTAATGTGAGCAGAAATGGCAAGAGTTAACCAAGGAAGTTTCCAACATTTATGTAGGACAATGAACAAGCAAGTTGAAACCCAGTGCTGAGCTATGTGGTGATTGGAAGACAAAAAATGAAAATCCAGAAAGAAGAGTGACGGAGGAGTAACAGTCTCTGTGATCTTGTATTTTATGTATGGGCAGTGTAGGTTTCATAGCCGCAGAAACTCTTTGGAAACCATTCAAATACAGTCTAGTTCAGTTTGAAACCTTTGAATCTTTTCTTGGTAGCACATACTTGTTGCTCTTTTTCTAGAAATTTTTTTTTTATATTGGTTTTATCTTTTTCAGTTTTATACATAATCATCATGTCCTTATGGGAAGGTAAGGGACAAATCTTACTTTTTTTTTTTTTTTCACTAAAAGCATATTGCATTCCCTTTTTGTAACAGATTCATGCCCAAGCACAAAATAACCCATTTAAAGAGGATGCTCAGCCTTAAAGGAAATGGCGGTTCTGCTCCATCCATGGCCTGTCCTTCCCAACAGGAGCAAGGAGATTCTGAGAATTTATTGGAGAATTTTAATTCAGAGTATAATGAACACTTTGACCTTGATACTGTACAAGAAAACCTGGATGACTCATCGATGCAAGAGCCAGACTTGAGACAATCCAACTGGTCTGATGATTCAAGCTCTCATTGTGGGGAAAATGAACAAAATCTGACTCTTAATACCTGTGACACTCTGCGAGGAATTGATGATCAGCAGAGACCACTGCATATTGTTTGGCCTCATAGATGGTAAGTCAAGACATGCCAATTTAGTAAGTTGTAGAACTAGTAATAGAATATATATTTTGATGATTAACTTATTAATTCTCTGACTTTATACCTTTAGAAAAATCATTTTAATATAGTAGTACTAGTAATATAGTGACAACATGCTACTACTCAAGATCTTTACATTAATGATTGTGTGTTTAGATTAAATTTGAATTACAGATAATTGTTTGCAATGATTTGCTCAACTAACAATAGTAGTCAGACACTTCTAGGAAATTGAATTTTGTTCAAGAAGTTCCAAAGTATCAACATATAAGAATAGCATGCCATTTTATATAAACCCACACGCAACATTGTCACAGCACTGTTTCATTTGTATACATTGATAAAGCAGTATTACTGTTAAGACACCAACAATTTCCATTATTTACCACTACTTTGACCAGTTTCAACTGGATGGCTTTGTTTTACTTGTCATAATAAATCAGTACACTTGAAACAGTTTCCTTTCTTCCAAATGCTTCTGTATTTTGCTAAGCAAAATACTGTCTTTCCGAATCTTTTCTAAACAGAGGAAAATCAACTGCAACATATAATCCCACCAAATATAAACTCATAAACTTAACCATGGCTTCTATAAATTAGGATTTAAGGAGGTAAAATGTCCTGATAATCTTCTGGTATTAGGCATGAACATTTTAATCTAGTTTTTATTCCTCCCAGTTAGTTTAATCTGCGTGTGGCCTGATTAGAGTTCACTTCCCCCACAGATTATGGTCTCTTTATTGCAGCGTTGCTGGGCTGATCATTAGGTCCGATTTTCTGAGAGCAACTGTTTGCAGGTGAATTAATAAGCACAGCACACCGGCCGGCCAAAGCGCCTTTGCCGAGGATTTGACTTCCAGCACATTAAAACTCCAGAAGCTCTCCCAGTTGATCTGCAGCATCTGGTACCTAAAGGGATTTTTGTCTTTGATTCTAAATGTATGAACATAAAATTTAGGCATTGAAAGTTGATGTGGAATGAGTTTTTGGATTTGTTTTTTTCCTCATCACACTTCCCGCATACCCCCTCTCAGGGAATAACGTTTATTTGGAAATCATATTTTACTTAGAATGTAACAGTGTTCTGTATTCTTTTGTGTTAGTTTAAAATGCACTGGGTGTGGATGAGATTAACCTGTTTCAAGGTAAAATACATGACCTCATTTACTTCCTTCAGAACAGCCTGTTCTTTTATTACACCAATCTTTAGTTGTCTCTGAAAAGAATATTTATTGCAAGAAAATCAGTTCTAAAAAGTTTGGTTCTGGATTGTCATAAAAAATGCTAAATTAAATAATTTCTAGACTGCTTTTACAAAACAGCAATATAGAGGAAATAGTGAGAGAACCATGTTATTCAATACTTTGCACAAAATAAGACAGAGCTATGTTAATAAAATTAACAATATTAAATTGAATAATTCCCTCTCTTCCTTTGTATATTTTTGCTTTAATTTAATTTAATTGCCTAAAGTTAGTTGCTTAAAGAGATGCAGCATTATGTTTGTGCACATTCTTATTGTTAAAGCTAAATTATTTTTAATTTGGAGAAGAGGGAAAAAAGCCGCATCAGCAAGAGTAAATGCCAAAATATAAAAGTAACACATTCATCCTTACGGGTAATATAGTAGAACATTGGAAACTTGGAGGTTGCCAGACACATAGCTAACATTAGGGCTAATTTTGAAAATCTAGCGTGCAGTCAATTTTACTGATGCCTGGGGACATACAAGGTAGAAGCTGACAAGAGAACTAATTTTGTTTGGGTTATTTACTGCTATGCATCATCCGCGGGTTCCCGCCTGACACACAGCTATATGAAGGGGGATATTATCACACACTAAAAATTTATGTTGACATTCGATATTTGTTCAATATGTCAGCAGTATTACTTTCATAATCAAAAGAGTAAGAAAAAGAGAAAAGAAAAGCACTTTATGCTCATATAGATATATCTTTTTAATAACAGTCTATAAGGTTAATATAGTTTACCTTTGAGAGTATACAATGAAAACAAGCAGGGTTAGGAGGGGAAATGACAGAAAGCATCAACCCGAGCTGTTTGTTTGCCATTACCTAAGCGAGCCATGTCAGCTCTCTGGCCCGCGTCTGATAGCTATTTGTTGTACAGAGAGCACAGCATAAAAAAAATATCAAACTCTTAATACTATTGTGTGCCCATAACCATCTGTCACTGCTAGCCTGGAGATGAGAGGAAGATTACGAGGAATAAACACTGAGCCGCGGAGCATTGGTAAAGCCTTCGGGCAAAAAACTCTTGTGGGGACATCAAAGACATTCTAATTCCGAGGCAGTCAAGGATTACAGTGTGTAACCTGTGCTGACAACAGATAAATGACTGGCAATATTGTGCCAGAGCTGTTGGGTCCTGCATGGAGTACTGATGATGATGATGATGATGTTATCTTGCAGAATGGACTCTGCTGGGATAATTTTATGATAAAACACTTTTTTCAAATGCCACTGGGTCTAGGCAGACATTTACTAGCTACAGGGGTAGCAATCAGTTTCTTCAAAATTTACTGTTCTAAGCCCATTAGAGTTCCAGCGCAGCAAGACTCTTCAATGAAAATCTAAAATGCCTATATTTTCTTTAGGAGAATATATGCAAATGTTGGGAGCTGAACTCCTACCCTTTAGTGGTAGATGCCTTATCATCTGATTTATGTAAATTTGCTCATAAAAATACAGTTTATTTTTAATTGGTGAATATGAATTAGAAAATTAAGATTCTGGTTCAGCATTCATCAAACATCCCCAGCTACAAGCACACATTTATTTAGACCCCTGATTGTATGGGTAGAAATCATAACACTGACCAGTCAATGTGAATCGTATTCTAAAGGAAACCAGGGTTTCCACTGGAAGGACCAAGGTTTTGACTCATCTGCAAAAGGACAAGTTTGAGCCTTCTGTTTTTCATTTTGTTGTCAGTACTCCAAGTGATTTCAGCTGCTTGAAGGGGGCTTTTCCTTGGAGTTGCCTGTAGGAGCTCTTCAGTCTGTTGCGAGTTTGCCTTGGCCATGCACATTTTCCAGAGAGAAGGTGTTTTGGGGGCAGGAGAAAGCATCAATGGTTGTTTCCCTTGTAAACATAAAGGAGAAATAGACACTGGAAAGGGCAACAGGGTTGTAAGACTCTGTCATTACCAATGCCTAACAAAACAAAAATAAAACCCTCCTCCTTATCATAAAAAATATGCCCATGATATCATACAGTTGTGGTAGCCAACTCTAAAAATGAAGTGATGCTGACCTCATTGTGTTAGTTCCACACTGGGATCATGAATGGCCTAAAATATAGTGTTACCCTCTAACATATCTTGTACTAAGTCAACCAAATGTAGAGCCTCCTTGCTAGGATATGTATCAAAATCAAATGTGACATTTTCTAGAAGATACATTCTGGCTTTAAATCTGTGTTAAAATGTCTGTGCATGAGAACAGGCCCTTAAATGCAAGGCTTGCCCCCTCTCTTCAGTCTTTCTGAATCTGAGCTTGTCAAGGATTATAGTGTGCAACCTCTGCTGACAGTAGATAAATAACTGACAGCATTTTAGCAGAGTTGCTGGGTTCTCTGCAGAGTAATTTGTTTTCTCCTTTCTACCCAGTCTTTAATGTTTTGTTCTAAACATCTACAGCAAAGCACGCTTAATAGAAATGACTTATAGGGAAAGACCTGTAAAAACTCCACTGCAATTTGCAGTACTTATTTTTTAACTATTTTCTTTCCAAATATTACACAAACACTGTAACATTGCAGCGGTTTCCAACTTTTATGTAAATATTCTCTGAAGTGTAATGGTCACAGAGACACACTGCTGGAGGGACAGAGAACACAAGCTTAGAAGGCATCGAAAGCTCATACTCTCAAAGCCCTTGTTCTCAAAACATTTTCATCTCAAAACCCTCCTCACACTTCTAAAACTTGGTGGGACACCTAAGGGTTCTTGTTATTGGTATTGTAACTATTAATATTCACTGTATTAGGAATTAATATTAGGAAAAAGTTTTAAAATCTACATTAAATCATTTTTTTAAAAAAAACAATAATCAACTAAGTACATGGTAATGTAAAAAGTGAATTTTTATGAAAATAACTGTTTTCCAAATCAAAATCTAATACTGCAAAGAGTGATCTTATCATACATTTATGTAAATCTAATGCCTAAGTGGAAGATAATCGAATTCTTCCATCTCTTTAGGTATTCAATCTATTGTAATATGTTGTTTTGATAGAAATTTATGGAGAAATCCTCCTCTCAAAAAGATGTCTTTGGAAAAGAGAATGTTTTAATGACCTATTCTTGTACTGTTGATATTCTTCTTTGAAATGGCACAAGAAAAGGTTAGTCACAATGTGGAGTCTGAGACCACGCAATGAGTTCTTCATGCTCTGCTATTTGCAGTTTGAATGGATTTTGTGGCATCATGCATTGGTCATTCAAAGAATATAGGCTTCCTCAATAATGCAGATCTTTCAAAACCACAATTCATTATACAGTTTCAAAAACTCACATTTGTTAACATCACCAAAAATGTCTCATAAGAGACATTTTTGAGTCTTGGGAATCTATTAAGCTCATAGTGTAGATACAATTTTTCAAAAATTCTAATGGTCACTTAGAAGCTTGAATTTATAATTACAGCAAGTATATTAGTTGTTTTCCTTGAAGTAGTAATAGATTCACATTGTTCATATTTGAGAAAATGTCTGCCAAATTTTCTAGTGTGATTAACATAGTTTTAGTTCTTTCAGTTAAACTCAGTATTTCATGGAAAAGGCCAGTAGTTTAACTCAGAGTACTAACAATTGTACAATACTTTTCCTCAGGAGAGCCCATATTGTATCTTGGTGTACAGTAAAAGTGCATTATATGTATTTCAAATTTTATCACAGAGACTATTAAAAGACATCTAACAAAAGGTTGAATTTTATGAAATTAATAATTTT